GAATCAGCAAAACCAGCTAAAGAGCAGAGTTGCTTCTTAAATCTTATTTCATAATTTGCTCCTGCCTAGGACACAGTCTCTATTTACAGGCACCAACTTTCAAAACCTGGCTTGGAGAAAGCACAGCACCAAAGCCAGAGACAGCCCAACACACTTGCCTCCCCTCAAATTGTTTTACCTTCGTTTCAATGAGAAAAGCTGGAAATCTCAAGCTCTAAGCAAAGCAAGCACTAAAAAGGAAAGGAAGTTACCTGAGTGAGGCTGTTCCTTCAGGGACACGTGGCAGCATCAGATGCCAAGCAGAGTGTCAGAAATGCTGATTTAATGTTGACTGCATGATGAAAGACAGGCTGCTCAGAAATCCACAGGAGCACAATAAAAAGACATCTAAATCCTACTGGGTTTGTTGCGCTTATGTTTTTAAGCTTAGTGGTCAGCATAGATACTGACAAAATTAACATTTCATTTTTTAAGGCAAACCAAAGGAAAAAAAAGTGAAAGAAGTACGAGAGGAAAGAGTTTCAGTTCAGGTGAATTTTAATTAGTGCCAGGTGGTTAAAGAAAGATCAGTCACACTATCATTTTTGTGATCAATTTATGGAATACAGATTGCATTTGAGATTAGCTGAGATTACACCCTTGACTCTGAAATAATATGCTAAAAACTCACCTGTTCCTTTCATTCTGAGATTCCCTTTGGTCACTGAAGGATGAAAATGAAACATTTCTAAAAATGCTCTGAAAACTTGTGTCAAAATGTGAACTAGTATTTCAACAGCCTGATTCATATACACTTTCCTCTGAGTACAAACAATTGCACTACCTGCTGCAGGAGAAACGAATCCTAAATTATTTTCTTTCTATAGAGTACAATTTCAGGAATTAAATTATATTTTTAAATCCAAGCATTCCCACGGTCCAGGGTCAGAACATTTCTCTGCTTAAAATACCAAGGTGAAATTACTTTTGTTTTCTGTGCTTCTTAAATTAAAAATGAAGTAGTGATGTCCTGAAACAGAAGACCACCTACACTCCTCTTAGTGTGACCAACAAATGAACAGGACTATTCAGAACAAGCAACCATCTTATCCCAAGATAATCCTTTACTGTGGACAAACAAAACTTTACTAGCCAGCAATGCGCCCTGCCATGTAATTTTTATATAATATCCAAAAGTAACAGTGAAATATTTATTAAAAAAAAACATTCTCTAAGGGAGCTCAGAACGCAGCAATATCTACTGTCAAAGTATAACCCAGAGAGAGGGAAGGTTTTTTTAGTATTTTATTCAATAAGCACATCAGCAAATAAAATTTCCAGAGAAATCTACACACAGCTTCCTAGAAATAACATACCACAATTCCCTCCTTAGTTATCTTTAACCACCTGGTTTTCATATTCCCCGAGCAGTTTATACAGGCTTCCCCCCGCTTTGTGATTTTCCCATTTCAATTACTTTAATAAATAATGGACACCACAGGTGATCCTAGAGAAAAATCCACATCTCAGCACTGCATAGCCGGACAACCAAGTTCACTGGATGTCATCATCATCAAAGAGATCTTCAAAATCTAGTCAGAAAAACAAGACAAAGTAAAATTACCCTCAAACGTTTCAACTTTTAGAAATGCACATACTCAAGTAGAGTGCTTCATTATTTGGATAAAAAAACAGAAATAAAGGTGAATTAAGTGAATGAGAGTAACTGCACCATCAATTACTGGAAATGTAATCAGGGTGGAAAGAGGAAGCAAAGGCAGGCAAACCCATGTACATGTTCTCTGTCATGCACAATGAAACTGCCCCACTTGTACAATACAAACTTTGCAATTAAACTCATGAAACTAAGCTTAGAAGAAGGGGCTTTTATAACAGCATTAAGTAGCCATCACAGAGTGGATCAAGCAGGATTCCCCGAGTCCAGAAAAAAGCAAGTATTAGCTTTAGGCATGCAGCAAGTCTAGGATGTAAACACTCCTGCAGGATCCTGCCTTTAGGTCACAGCATCCAGGCACACCCCTAAATGCTACAGACTGACATTCTCAAGTGGGATTTGCTGCTCAGGTCCCTTCCTTAAAACCATTTCATTGCTTTGAAGGTGCTAATAACATTTCTCTCTCAGAACTCATTTCAGACTAGTGAAATGTGGCTGGCTGCGTTTCGTCTTTGGGAAGTGCTCCTAACTACTCAGCTTTGTATCTTCTTTGTATATTGAGCATAAACTAACAACATCACTGAATACAAGCCTTTATGTTTACAGAAGGTGATGTATGTGCCATGCAATAAACTGAGGATTAACCCTCATTTAGAAGAGTCCTAAAATACCAGTGGAATATAATACCATGACGGTAGAATTTTATGGAAACACCTACTCCTGAATATGCTGGTTCCAACAGAGAGCTAGGTCCTTCACCACTCTTAAAGAGTATAGCTGAAAATTCCTTTTGCTCCTGTGTTCTAGGTGTTGAGAACCACGAGAAACCTACTTTATTTTGGAATTAATACCAGTTTGTGATATTAACACCACTACAGCAACCAGATCCGAGGTATCTGAAACTGCCTGTTGGAGCGTCTAAATGTACTTCTTGAGAAGCACAAAAAACCCTTAGTAACCAAGTGCAGTGTTCTATATACCACCCCTAAGTGGCCTGATATCTAGCTCTTCTCTCTCAAAGCAGCTGTCTATACCTATATCTAGGCTGAAAGGATTGGATTGTTCAGCCTGGAGAAGAGAAGGCTTTGGGGTGACCTAACTGGACCCTTCCTGTACCTGAAGGGAGCCTATGGGAAGGAAGGATAGACTATTTACAAGGGCTTGGAGTGACAGGACAAGGGGACCGGCTTCAAACTGACAGAGAGCAGGTTTAGATTGGATATTAGGGAAAAACTCTTCCCTGTGAGGGTGGTGAGGCCCTGGCACAGGTTTGTGGGCTGTGGCTGCCCCATCCCTGGAGGTGTTCAAGGCCAGGTTGGACGGGGCTCTGAGC